GTGAATGTCACCTTTGTTCTGGAAAATCAGAGGAGGGGAAGTGGTTTGGGAAACCATGGTAAAACCGTGCGAAATTCACCTTTGAGCTCGATTTGCGCAAAAACGAGCGCGATGACGTATACTTTTTATTGCAGATTCGGAATCAGCGCATTTCATAGGTGTAAGTACATATCTTAGATCTTTTGGAAAACGTGGTTCCAAATTTGGAAGGCAACCTAACACTTAACTCGGGGCCAGCTTTTAACCCTAACCCTAACCCTAATCTCCTTCCAGCTCAGAGTTCTCGAGCTCCAAAGCAGCGAGCTGCGCCTGAAGAAGCGCGATCTTCTCTTTTCTCGCCGCCGTCTGTTGCCTCGTGTGTGCCGCGGGGCCTGCGCTTGCCTCAGCGCTAGTCAAAGCGCTGGTTGGATCGGTTACAACAGACATCGGGTGACTGTAGTCAGAGTCTGCAATGTGTAAGACCTTGGTAGGGTTAGCCAGGCAATGTTGTTGTAAAGTGTTTTATTTCACTTTGCAGACTGAACTGCAATTCCAAATGCATGCATACAAACAATACAAAGACATCAACGCCGAGTCTTCTTAGCAAAGAACGACCCAGTCGGGACCGCAGAGCCTGCGAGTCCTGACAGCAATCGAACTCTTCATGCGCCTGTCTCAAGCTCCACGACCAGATGGAAAGCCTCGCCGCCAGTTCGGTCCCAACGGCCCGAGCGAGTCGTTTTTGGAGCGGTTTTTCGCCGAGTTTTCCGACGAACTCCGCTGGATCACTGCACACTCGATCGAAACCATTCGTACGGCCGCGATGAACGAGAAAACCCTCAGAAGCTTCTTTGAGCGCCTGCAGGAGCTTTGCGCCAAGTCGGAGGGAAGCTGTGGGCCGAGCCTGGGCGGATTTTCAGCTGCGTCCGGAAACTCAGCGCCTCCTTGACGCTTTCGTGAGTGATGTGCGCACCCTGCTACAGATTCCATCGCTTCTCACGTTCGAGGAGTTGCTGCGAGCGCCCCCGCTGACACCGTCGTCGAGCTGCACCGAGCCCGTCACTATCCGAACCGTCAAGCCGAACAAGGCCTACTCGCCCCAAGATGCGGCACAGCGTGCTACCCAACACGAGCGAGAAGCTCGGGAACAAGAAAAGGCTCAGGTTGCGCCTCTCATGGCGGAGTACAACCGGGCAATGCGGACCTACGAAGACAAAATCGAGCCCGTCATGAATCAGCAGGACCAACGCAAGTCGACGATCGATGCCGACCAGGCCCGGCTCGCAGAACTCGAGGCAGATGACTCGGCAGCCGCTCTGGTTGCAGACGTGCGTGCGCAACTTCACGCGAACCAGCAGAGGCTCGCCAAAGTCAACGCGACCGTGAAGCAAATGGTCGCCGCAAAACCCAAGCGCCCCGACGTCCGACACGTCCGCGCGCTTGCCGCCTCGAAAGCAGCAGCTGCGGCACCGGCTTTGCAATCGGTTGCGACGATGGCGGTTGAGCAGGACGACTCTGACGACGAATGCGAAGAGGACGGCATTCCGCCGTCGCCAATGCAGGTGACTTCTGCCGCTCCAGCGCGCTCCAGGAAGAGAATCTATGAAAGAGACTCTGACGACGAGGCCGCTCCATCATTTGAAACAGCACAGAGTGGCGGGTCGGACGAGAATGTGACCTATTCACTGTCGTCAAGATCTCTCGAGCGGCTGAAGGAGCCCCGTCTTGCTACCCGCAGCTCATCGCGGCTCATATCGTCTCCAGGTGTGACACTCAGTCGTGCCAACACAATTGGCGTGAGCAGCTGGCTGACAAACGACATGGCGGCGATGCAGCTCGTGTCAACCGAGGGAAATGTGTCGTCCACGCCGAAAACCGATCGCCGGAAGCGACTCGCGCTATCTGACCTCTCCAATTCGAACTAAATGTGTTACATGTATGGCTTTATATGCAATTTGATGTATGTTATTGTTGTCGGGTTGATTAAACGACGATAATTCTTTGTCCCGATTCGAACCCGCGCACACTCCCGGCCATAAGTACGCACAACATGACCCTATCGTCCACCAATACGGAGAATATCGATTTTCTTTGCATCTTCGCTGCATGTCCACTGTCGGAGACGGGCTGGAAGGTGCCGGGAGTGTTGCGGAGGCTGCCCTTCCATCTACGGGACAAGATTTTTCGCGCCCAGCCAAAGGTCAATGCAAAGTCAAAATTTCATATTGCTCCGACCGCCCCCATCTTTGGCACATCGACTATATGAATAATGTTGAACAAGAATACGAAGAGAGCCAGATGCAGGGTGGTCGCCAGTTTCTGTCCGGTAGAAGGAGGCTCCTCTCTACGTTTTGGTTTTACGTTTTTCTCTTTCAAACCGATGTGTAGTGGTCCTCACACCGTCGCAACAACAAGAGTTCACTGGTGACATTGTCATTGTCGGTCGCCAATTTTTTTGACGCAATTGGGATATTGGTGTCTTGTTTTTGATTCAAATTTTTCCAGCACCCCTGTCTTGTGCCAACAACTGCGTACGCTTCCTATCCAGTCCGAGTCCTACCACATATCGTTGATGCGATACTCCTGCAAAGCACGGCAGTTTCGCAAAAAAAAAAAAAAAAAAAAAAAAAAGCAAGCAGGGCTTGAGCAATCGGTTCGAGGCACGAGCGCAGTTCGTTCGATTCGTTTCTTTGCTCCTCAATTCGTGGTGCCGATATGTGATTCGTGATGTGATGTGAGATTGTTGTGGTAGTGAGTCAATCGTAGCAGCAGGTGCGTGATTGCGTTTCTCAGACATTGTTTTGATTTACTGTATTTTTTTTTGGATGCGTTTTTTTATTGCCTTTTTGTGCCGAACAGGACTTTTCGGCAGACGTCTGGAACGCATTTTATCAAGCGCCATCCTTTACGTTGCCGAGCTGTAGCAGCATGAAATAGCTGGACTGTCAACAAATAAACCCAGCAAATTTCCAATGTGTTCAGTACTTCTCCTCGCCTCGTAGCCAAATGGTTTCAAACCGATGTGTATCGGTTGGTGCCCAAACACTTGCGAATTCTCCCCCATCTGAACTCTCATGTCTGGATTTTTCTCAGACGTCTACTGTAGTCCTTTTTTTTTTTTTTTTTTTTTTTTCGATTTTTCGTGTTTTTTTTTTTGGTCCACAATGTCGGCGGCTGGCGGGACAAGCGCTCCTTCCGCGTCCTCATCATCGGCCTTTGTCGCAGCGCCCTCCTCGACTGCCGCAGCCTCCGCTTCATCATCACTATCCGCTTCGTCCTCATCCGCCTCGTCCTCACTGTCCTCGTCCTCGGGCTTGGCTTCGGCGGTCTCGGCGTCGCAGCAGCTCGTCATCCCAATTGCCCTCTGGAACCAGTCCGCGCCAAGCCACTGCGTCACTTCGCTGCTCGTCACCGAGGACCAGACGACCCTCGTCACTGGCGCCAAGAGCGGCCAGCTCTGCTTCTGGTCGCTGCACCTCCCGTCGCCCAGCGCAGCCAACGTAAGTGCAAATGGGACCAGAACGCTCGTGTTTTCCCCCCCCAGCGCAATGGGAAATCAGCAAAACAGATCTCGCTTTTTTTTTTTTTTTTTTTTTTTTTTTTTTTTTTTTTTTTGGCTGGCGTTTGCATTGCGATGCATTTCTCACTCACTGACTTCTCCTCTGATTGCTTGTCCTTGATCTTTGCTCGTTTCTGGGCCTTTGTGAATGATGCCGTCACGCACTCTGCTCGCCTTGTGGGTCAACTTCAACACTCCAACGCGAACAATTTGGCGCAAATTCTGGCTCTTCTCTACGAAACGAACGAACGGGGTGGCATTTCGCTGACGACGCGTTCTGCTCTGCTGATGATGCGTGTGCGTTCTTCGGATGTGTCCCTTTTTGCTTCTGCCACGCTTGGGCGATAACGCAGAGCGAGCAGGCTGCAAAACGAGCACCAACGTCGCTCGCGCCGAGATTTCTCGCCTTCACACATGTGGCTGCTGTCAATGCGTTGGTCGAGTGCATCTACTATGTCGACGCAGCTCCAACACACGTTATTCTGAGCGCATCGGCGGACGGGTAAGAGCTGTAACAACGCAACAAGGAATCATTGTCGACTTGCTCTTTCGTTGTGCGCTGCGTTTCGCTCTGCGTCGTTTCCTCTCATTTTCTGTTCATTGCCTAGCGTAATGGCAATCTCAGATCGCTCCAATGGTCGATGCCTCCAGTCTGCTCAATGCCTTCCAGAAAGCCCCACTCAGCTGGAAGTGCGTAGCTATTGATTCGCGCGTCTTTGTGTTTTTGAATCTTGGACGTGTTGTTGAGGGTCATCTCTCACTGCTTCTTGTCGCAACACAATCATCCTCTTTGATTAGATTATTGCACAAGGCACGAAGGTGGTTTGCTGCGGTCGATTCACCGACATTTTGATTATTGACATTGCCACTCTTTCGGTATGCCCCACTCATCGTCGTTGCTCGCGCTCTGTGTGCTATCGCTTTCCTTCCCTGAGGCCACACCACACTTTGCTAACGTTTTTGTTGCTTCTTCTTCTCTCCTTTTCGCTCTTTTTTTTTTTTTTTTTTTTTTTTGGTTTTGTTCCCCTGCTCGGCTAGGTCACACACGTTATTCATTCTGTCAGCAAACCTGGCTGGATTAGCACACTCTGTGTATGGGATTGCTTTTCTTCTGCTGGTACGTATTCTTATTCGAGCACAAACGGACTCTTGCGTTCCGTGTTGTTTTTCGTTGTCGACGCCTCTAACCTGCCCGCGGTGGATTCCCCGATTCCTTTTGTTCTCGCAGGAGTACCCGGTCAAGGTCTGCTTACTGTGTCCATTGACGGGACATTCCAACTTTGGGGACTCGAGTTTGTCACACGGACTGGCGTCAAGCCGCCAGATAGTCCATTGAGCATTTTGAGTCTGGAAGGTTGCACACGAGCGACAGCCATCTGTGTCAACCCTTTCAACAACTCTTCCATCCTCATTGTGTGCAACAACGAATGGATTGTAAGTTTTACGATTTTGCTGTTGTGGCATTGTCTTTTTTTTTTTTTTTTTTTTTTCGGCTAATCTTTTTCCTTCTTTGTGTATCTCTGATCATCTGACCTTCCGCCTTCTCCTTGTCCCGCTTTCCATAAACCACTCCAGTTACTTCCTAGCAACGATTTTCGCCCGCTTTGTCGGATGCGTTGCCCATTGCGCCTTGGATGGGCGGGCGGCTCGTTTTTCGACGCCGAGACCATCTTGGCTTGGACCCACGATGGTATTGGGTATCTGTACCGGCTGCCTAGTCTACCAGACCTGCCACCTCTCAGCTTGTCCTCGCAGTCACAGTTTGGCTTTGACAAGGCGCCAGCAAACGCAATTCCGCATCAGCCTACCTCCAATCCTCTTCCTCCTCCATTGCTTCGCGAGCAAAGCTCTGGCAGCTTCAATCCCGCGAGTTACCACTTGCGGCTCCTGGGCGCTGCTGGCCAGCTGCCTGGGCAGCGCGCGGAATCGCAAAAGGCCGTGCTGTGCAACGAAGAGCCCGCTCTGTTGTGCGTCTTCCAGAAAGCCATGCCACCACCCGAGGAGCAACAACCTGGCTGGGCTGCTGACGTGCCCCAAACACTGCTCCACGGGACTTACCCAGTCATGCAGTATCAGCGTCGGCTGGCAATGGATGACACGCAGCCAAACTCGGCCGCAATGTTCACCATTGACATGCTCGTGCGCGCTGACGGGCTCGGTCAAGTGCATGTCTGGAATGTTGGCAACTTCCTGGACGCCGTGAGCCCGTCGTCCTCTCTGGCCGCAGCCACCGAGTCTGGTTCGACTGGGCTGCAAAGCGCTTCGCCAGTCCATACCCAATCGCCGTCTGCGCCTTCCCCAATATCCAAGCGGTTGTCACTGATCTCTGCCAGCAATCCCGCAGCAGCAGCAGCTGCATCATCTGTTCTACCGCGCGGCTCTCTGCAAGCGACAGGGCGAAAGCTGAGCTTGTCCAGAACGTCCTCGGAGTGGTCGTCCAACATTTTGCTCCCTTTTATCAACTGCAGCCTCGCAGGCGTGTGGGAGGCTCTTGGATGGCAGAGCAACAGCCATCACGGCGTTGACGAGGCAATCACAGCAACCATGATGGTCGATGACACGCATGTTGTGCGTGGTTTTGCCAACGGCCACATTGTCATATCCCACATTATCGGCATGTGCCGCTCCTGGACAGGCCTGCCTCCACGTGCCGACGATCACATTGTGTGTCGCGCACACACTGATCGCATCACTTGCCTGCTCTATCCCGAGGCTGTCAGCGATGCACCCCGACAGCGCACTGTCTTTGTGTCTGGCTCGGCCGATTTTACCGTGCGCGTTTGGAGCGTCACATCTGGAACCCTGCTCAAGACGTTCGCATCCCACGGAGGCGAGATTATTCGCTTGATTCAACCGCCCCGCGACTCGCGTGCCTTTATGCAGAGCTTTGTCTGTTCTGTCGCTCAAGACCACTCTGTCTGCGTGTACTCGTTGTCGGATTTGCGCTATCGTCACCAGCTGGGTGGGCACATCTTCCCGATTACGACAGTGCAATGGAGCGTTGACGACGACTACGTTGTGGTCGGGTGCACCGATGGCACTGTCTACGTCTGGCAACTCAGTACCAATCATCTTGATCGCGTCGCAACCGGCCAAGTTGCCCTGGATATCTTGGAAAGTTGCTCGATGCATTCCATTCCGATTCATTCGAGTGGTTCCCAACACCACCCTCCGTCGTCATCGCTCCCATCGTCTACACCGCACCTGCAATTGCAACCGTCTCATCAGCAGCAACTTCTTCAGCAACAGGCTCAAACCCACCACTCCAAGCACCAGCCCCCGCAATTGCCACATTTGCCGCCTGTGGACCTCAACGACTTGCCCGACTCTACTGGCTCGGGACAGAATTCGCCGCGGCGTTCTCGAGGGTTCCCTCGCCTTCCCTTGACTAAGCGCGGGAGCCAGGCATCCAGTGGCAGCAGCTCCCCCGTTCTGGGCAACTCGGGAAGCGCTGGGTCGTTGCCAGGCGCGGCGTCAATGTTGCGTGAAGGTCAGACGCTTGAGCACCAGTCCGTTTCGTACAACGTGCCACACGCGCACATTCACGCCCCTGTTGCTGCCATGCCTCTTGGAGCCGCGAGCATCATGTCAGTTGCATCAGACACGCCCAATGTCCAGCCCCAACACTATTCCAGCTGTTGTGATTGGCTCTGCCACCCCTGCATCGTCGTCGCCCGCAACAACCGGCTCTGCCAATAACGTCCCAGGCACTGCAACTGCTGCCTCTGCCAGCGCCGAGACTGGGCAGCCACTCATCCTGCAAAGCCCTTCTCGTCTGCGAGGCAAGCGCGCCATGGATTTGTTCTCGCTTCCCGTCACCGAAGAGGAGCCCAGGCTGCCAGTCTTGGTGGTGAACGTCAAGCGATTGATTGCCAGCCTTTTCCAGACCTTTACAACCACGAGTCGGTTTGCGGAACAAGACTGGTGGGCCAACCTCCCCACAGCTATCGCCAATGTCTTGCTGTCGCACCTGATTCCATGGAATTGCTTACCCAACTTGGATGCCACCTGCACCAGCAAACTGGGGCTCCACAAACCAACACACCAGCTGTGCTTGGGTGTTGTGGGCGATGATGGGCGCATTTCGTTAATGTTGCCCGACGCCAACAACGGCTCGATGCGCTGGCAGTCGTCAGCCCATCTCTCTGCGCTCTGCTCCATGTCGGTGATTACGCTTGCCAACACCTTCATGACGCTTGGTTCCGAGGTTCGGCGCGATGGGTGGAGCCATCTAATCACCGTCACATGCGCTCTGCTCCCAGATCTCTTGCCCAACTTTGTTGAGCCCTCGCTGACGCTGCTTGCTCGGTTCTGGATGGACGTGCAAACCGACTTGCAGCAGGCAGCGCGCACGCTCGTCTCCCAGGGTCTGACGCGCATTGGCGAAAAGCAACGTACCATTCTTGCTGCGCGCTGGGACAAGGTCATTGAAAGCATGCGCGATCCCCACCATCCCGTGCGAGTGCTCCATGTTTTGCTGCTCGGCGTGCTTGGGTCTGAGTTCTCGGGGCTGGAAATGCGGATTGCGGACAACGTCGCCCGTTCGCTTCTTCGCTTGCTGTTTGATGACTCGGCCGATCTCGTTGCCCGCCAGCGCAACCAAATGATTGCCGCCGAGCTGTTGGCGGTTGGGTTTAACCTTTGGTCGCAGACCCGAATCGATGTACAAACTTTGCTGCGACGATTGCTGTCGCTGAGCGCTGAAGTGTACCTTCAAACGCATGCTTCTCCCGCCGCCGCCGCATCCAACCTCTCGCTTTCGGCCCACTTGAGGGACTCGGGCAACTCGTCTGCCTCGCCTACCAAGCCGCAGACTGCTCCTGGCGCCAAGCCCAAGATGCACAACTCTGCGCGCCACGCCCTCTTGCTCATCGCGTCGACCTCACCCGATGCGTTTGTGCGTGCATTGAGCAACGAGGTGATGGGCGCTGCCAATGCTGGCGAAGAGCGAGAGCATGCGCTTCGCCTCATCCATCTCCTTGTCAACAAGAAGGCGATGGTGGTTGTGCCATACTTGGCTCGGCTTGTTGAAATTGTCGTGCAGTGCCTCGATCCGAGCATGCCCACCGTACGACAACGATGCATGGCCGAGGCCACCTCCATTTTGCACGACATGGTCAAGTCCTTCCGCCACATTGCTCTTCACACGGCGTCCCAACGATTGGCTGTCGGTGCACCGGACGGGCCCATCATTGTTTACGATTTGCGCACGGCTTCCAAGTGGCACGCTCTCGAAGGCCACGCCGCAGTTTCCACGGCCATCGCCTTCTCCCCCGATGGCAAGTACCTCGCATCGTACTCGTTTGATGACCGCGCGGTCAAAGTGTGGCAAGCGAGTACGGGCTTCTTTGGCGCGCTGTCGCACAGTTCCACCCCGTCTCGCACATTCCCTGTTGCTCGACCCGTTGGCATGGACGTCGTTTCGTCAGAGGCCTTCCTCGACAGTGTTCGCCTTGCATGGGTTCAGGCGCCACCTGGTGCTGGCTCCAAACGCAAACTGGAGCTCGTTCGGGGCGGAGAAGAGATGAGCTTTGTATTCTAAAGCGTGGATTGAAATTTGGTGTCCATTGTTTACTGAAATTTTGAAAATAAAAGTTGGAACAAAAGTCAGCCGGCCACAGTTCAACCAAAGCAACCGACCAAAGCAACCGAGAAAGACCAGGCGGAGATTTGAGGCGGCTAAAGGTGGTTGTTGTTGTTGTGGTTGTTGTTGTTGTTGTTGTTGTTGTTGTTGTTGTTGTTGTTGTTGTTGTTGTTGTTGTTGTTGTTGTTGTTGTTGTTGTTGTTGTTGTTGTTGTTGTTGTTGTTGTTGTTGTTGTTGTTGTTGTTGTTATTTGCATCTTCCGCGTCTCTAGACGTCAATGTTCAATCGAGCGAGTTGATGAAGCTCTGGAGCCACCGAGTCACTGAGTTGGGCAAGCTGCGACTGGACCAGGCGCCCGTCATTGTAGTTGACAACTTCAGTGTTCCCAGCAACGAATGTGAGCACCCCGCGACCTGCGCGGCGATCATTCTCCCATTTTCCTTCAAACTTTGTGCCAACAAGTGTGGTAAACACGCCTGCACCATGTTTCTGCGCATTTGCCAAAAGCACACGCGCACACACGCGCACACACATGCAAGCGTAAGTCAGAGTGTCTAGGCGAGCGAGGGCAACTCAACATCCCGCTCTGATCTCACCATGCCGTTGCGCCAAGCACCATCGTAGCGCCCAGCGCTCGACGTAAACACGCCACGTCCATCTCGGCGACCAGAACTCCATTCTCCGTCGTAGCGGTTGCCAGAGTGGTCAGCCCAAATGCCACGACCATGCGGCTGCAAAAACCCAGCATGCCAAATGAGCTTGAGCGTGTGCGAATGCCTCCAATGAAAAAAGCAAAGAGCAACAGGACTGTAAACGTATGGCTCACCTTGTCGTTGCTCCAGCGGCCGTCGTAGACTGAGCCGTCCGTCCAAACGTACTTGCCATCACCATCCCGCTTGCCGTTCTTCCACGCGCCTTCATATACGCTCCCGTCTGTAAACTGCTTGCGGCCACGTCCCTCCGGCTGCAGTGCCAATAAACAATGAACACGGCGGGAAAATAGAGTAGACTGAGTGTCACAAACGTTTCCCCCTTCCAGACATGTACGTTTTGCAAGCTGGAGCATACCACTCCTTTGGCCCATTGGCCCTCATACTGGGAGCCGCAGCGATACTTGTGCGTTCCTTTGCCTTGTGGCAGATCGTCACTCCAAGAGCCAGTATAAAAGGAACCGTCAGGATAAGTCAAGGTACCCGTTCCATGTCTCTGTTCGTTAGCAGAGCAGCAGTAGTGCAATGAGTGAACAACCAGGCAATTTGCACATTCTAATGCAGGCATAGACGAGGACGGCAAACTGTTACATTGTCGCGAAGCCACTGGCCTTCATAGATGGATCCATCGGCATTACGTACGACGCCAGAGCCCTCGCGACGATTCAAAAGCCATTGTCCGACATAGATGGAGCCGTCAGAAAAAGACTTGCTCGCCTTCTCCGTTGCGCTTTTGATGCAAAATAAAGCAAACCAAATGACAAAAAAAAACAGAGAGTGAGGAGGTGCAGGGAGCAACCGTTATGCGCAGCAGCGTCACGCACCTCGTCATCGCGCCATTGTCCAATGTAGCGAGAGCCATCGGCTCGTGTCAGTTCACCGTCACCCGTCCTTGCGGTCTAAACGCCATTGGCCACGGTATGAATCGCCTTCAGAGGTTGTCAGCGTGCCATTGTTGTGGCGCTAAATTAAAAAAATGCAAAAAAGGCAAACCCCCGCACGTCAGAAACAGATTCGGCAGCAGGCAACGTTCAAAAAAAGCAGCTTGAAAGCATTCACGTACACGCGAGTCCTGCCAGTCGCCAGAGTAGGTTGTTCCGTTCGGGTATGTCAGCGTTCCAAGACCGCAGGCTTCGTCCATATCAAACAACCCTTCGAAGATGGCACCGTCCGCGTAAATGATCTTGCCCTATAGCGGTACGGGGAAAACAACAACAACAACAGCAACAACAACAAAAAAATTCAATAAACATCACGCTCGGTCGCATGCGAGCGCCGTCACGCAAACAACCCCCCCCCGATTCAATCGTACCTTGCCGTGCTTGCGGCCGTCCAGGAACTCGCCCTCGTAGACATCGCCATTGACTTGGGACAAGGTACCATGCCCAACTGAGAGTTTAACACAGGTTTCCGAGCGAGCAAAAGGCAAGTTGAGTTGCAGCAGTCGAACAGCGTTCACGGCTATGATTGACAATCGCTTACACTGGCGGTTGTGGCTCCATGAGCCAACATACGTCTCTCCAGTGCTGTAAATGAGCGTGCCCTGCCCATGACGCTCATTGTCCACCCACTCGCCTTCGTACGAAGTTTTGCTTGGCCAGGTGTACTTTCCACGCCCGTGACGCTGGCGACCGAGAAAGGCAAGTGTAGTGAGCAACTGGCACTTTTCAACTGCATTGAAAGACCCAGCTGCATTGAACACCAAGGTTACCTTCGAATCAAGCCAATCTCCAGAGTACACACCACCATCCTTGTGCGTAAATTTGGCCGTGCGTGCCCCTGAGTTCAGTAGCCAAGAGATGAGCAGATGTGTAGCAGTCGTGGACACAAAAAATAGAAAAAAGCCGCGCAGCCATCGCCAAAGATGTCGCAATCCCCCGTTACCTAGATCGCTTGTTGGAGCTGCAGAGATGCAGCGAGCAATTGTGTCACGGAAGGCATTGAGCCAGAGCTTCTTCTCGTTACTTGAGCCAGCGAAAATGGTGAAGGGACGATCAGGATTGTAAACCTCAAAAGCGTCATCCAAGGCTAACGGTGTCAACGAATCGAGTGTGAGCGGGAACAAGTGTCGATGGCAACACAACAATCTCCATGCATGAAAGCTCCTCTTACTCGTTTGGGGATCGAGATCGTACAAATCCTCAAACCAAATAGTCTGCAAGCCCAGCATCATCTCCACCGCAGTTTGGCGTCCGCTGGCGGCATTGGATCGCGATGCAAAGACGACTAGATCGTTGAAAAGGAGACACTGGTACTTTCTATTGGCTGTCATGAGGCTCACGGTGCCCTCGCGAATGAGCGTGCGACCCGCAACATCGACATGCTGTCACGAGAAGCAAAGACGTCAGCAACATGCTCAAACGCCAATACCACACCTGCGCATCATACACAAAAGAACCCCCCCCCATTCGTGTCCCTACCTTCAAACCAGACACTGTCTTTTGAAGATCGAGCATTTTGCGTTGCGATTCTGCTTCGCGAAGAGAAGTGTTGACATGGTCGGCCTGCTGCTCCATCTTTTCGACCGCTAGTTGTAGCGCCTTGGCATCGGGATGAGACGGGTCGGTCTTCTTGACGAGATCCTAAAATTGCACACCAACAAGAGCACGCCGACAAGATGAGGCCAAATGTCCAGTCCAATGGCTCGAAAACGCAGCATTCTCCGGATCTACACAACCTGACCCCCTCCTTCTCCCAAGACATCCAGGGTGACGGACGCCACTCACTTTCAGCAGGAGCACGTAACGAGGAATGCGCTGAACCGGCATGATCAAGTACGAGAGCAGAGGCAGATTGTTGCACAAAGGATTCTGAGCGATCGCCTACGGAAAAGAAAGCAACAAGCCGGGGGGGGGGGGAAAGATGAGATGCCAGGTTGCAAACACCACATCGTCGCTCATCCCCGCTGCAGCAAACAAAAACCCCCCGAAGAAAAACTTGCATCCAGTAGCACGGCAAACTCTCGCTTGCGCTTTTGCAACTTCACGACCAAGTTGGTGGCATTGTCATAGTTGTTGCAGTACACCGTATACATGACAAAGTGCGGCATCTGTGGCAAGCGCAGGTCGCGGTGAGCGTGCAAATACAACGGCCAAAATCAACTGACGGCAGAAACAAACAAAAACAAACAACAAACACACAAACACACACAAAAACAAACACAACAATCAAACAAAAACAAACACACAACAATCAAACAAAAACAAACATAAACACCTCTCATACCTGCTCCAAAAACAAATCTCCAAGTTGTTGCTGATCCGACCAGTTGGCAATGCGGTCCCGAATCATCGTGAGAAGGTCAAAGTTGAACTCTGCGATGCGTTCAATATTGGAAAAGATGCCGTTGATTTCAATGTCCTCCAATATTCCGCTTTCTTCGCCAGAACGCAAAGGGTTGAGGAAGAGCTGCCAAAGCAAAAACGGATGCAAATAGTGAGTGAATGTACATCACGAATTGGGATTGCCGGCAGGGGGGGCCCCGCGCGGCATGATGCAAAAAAACAAAAAAACCTCTCTTCCCCGACAAGGACTGTGAACGAAGGGTCTTGACGGAAGGTCCGTTCTGTCGTGTTCATTTCGTAAAACAATTGTTGGAGCGTGCGTCGGCGCACATTTCCGGAAAGTCGTGTACATTTCGTAAACAATCTTGGAGCGTGCGTCGGTGCACATTTCGGGAAAGTCAGGAAACTCTTCCGCAGCGGCGACCGGGTTGAACTGTGTTGACGACGAGGGGGACAAGGACTATACGACTGATGAGCACAAAAAACAAACAAACCAACAACAACAACAACAACAAACAAACAAACAAACAAACAAACAAACAAACAAACAAACAAACAAACAAACAAACAAACAAACAAACAAACAAACAAACAAACAAACAAACAAACAAACAAACAAACAAAAAAAAAAAAAAACACCATCGACAAATCATTCGTGTTGGGAGCGGCAAATCCAACCTACCACATCTTCTGCTCGAACATCAAGCGAGGCATCTTCACCAAATACGATTGAAGCGGATGAGGCCGATGTCAGTGGCGCTGGAGGCTCGCTGCCGGCGGCGCGCCCACTACCAGCAACTATTTGAACCGATGGTCTCGCCGCGGGCCGCTTGCTGCGGGTACTGCCAAGACCCATGGATTTCTTCATTGTCTGTTTGTGGTGTTCAAAGGAGGGAGTGATTGCAATGAGTGCCACAACGTCTGTTTGCACCTTTCTGTATTCACTTTACCGAAATGGAAATGTTTCGTTTGATTGCCGCGGCAGGAGCAGCGGCTGGGCGGTGGGCAGCAACGGGCGCAGGGGCAACGCGCGTGAGGGCATGCACCCCAAGACCAGATGCCAAAAGGACGTCGTCAGGGTTGGAAGGCGCAACGGAGTGGCGGGCGTTTTGCGCAGCATTCAGAATTGCGGCAATGTCGTCACTCAGCTTTCGCTTCACGTCGTCCGACTGCAGCATCATGGAAGCGCGAGCTGGCGCTGGTTTTGGTTTTGGCGGCCGCGACGGAGCAGACAGGCTCGAAGTGCGTGGGATTGTCAGCGGCGGCGTTGGATTGGACGGTGCTTCAGCGGCAGTCACTTCTTCCGGAACCTCCACCTCCGACGAGCCCTCTTCAGCTCCAGCCAGCTGGATGAAGGAGCCTGGCTGCGGCGGTTGCTGCGGTCGTTTCCGCGGCGGCGGAGCAGGGCGTGGGGAAGTTGAGGGAGAGTTGCCGGATGCCAGCTTCGCAGCAGCAGCAGCAGGAGCAGCAGCAGGAGTAGCAACAGGACTAGGAATAGGACTAGCAGCCGGAGCACCAGAGCGACCGGGAAGGGGGACTGGTGACCGTTTGGTCGCGGACGCCGTCGTCGTCGCCGTCGTACTTGCAGACGCACTTGGAGATACTTTGGCAGAGGTATCGCCACCCGAGCTCGCACTCGCGTTCAAGCTGGAGCTGGACAACGAGCTGTGCATTGCCGACGGGGGCTGCAGAAAGCTCAGTTTGCCTTGCAGCGCAGCAGCGCGTGCGGCCGTCGACGACGACGACGATGACGATGGCGGGCTGCTCGAACTGTTCGCGCTGACCACCAATTGGTCTGCCACGTCCGACGACGACGACGACGACGACGCCGACGACGACGACCCGGCCATCGCAGGCGAAGTAGTAGCAGCAGCAGCAGCAGCAGCAGCAGCAGCGGAGCTCAACGGCGTCGGGGTGGCACTCGCGTTCTTGACCGGCACAGCGGGCGGCCGTCTGGTTGCAACCAGCACAGCAGGCGCAGTAGCAGCAGTAGCAGTCGCAGCAGTAGCAGTAGCAGTAGTAGCATTGAGATTGGATTTGCTTGAGAGTGCATTGGGATTGAGATTCACGTCCTGCTCTTGGTCTTGGTCTTGGTCTTGGTCTTGGTCTTGGTCCTGCTGCAGTGACAATGATGATAATGATGATGATGATGATGAGGGGGATGACAGGAGCTCTGCATTGGCGTCCTGCAGCAGCAGACCGGTCGTCGACGTGCGGACGGGTCGCGGCGGGCGTCGGCGGCGGTTGACTGGCTGCGGCTTGGACGGCACTGCGGCAGCCAGCGACTGCGTAGTAGTCGTAGTAGTGGTCGTGCTCGCATCGAGTCCATCAGCACTCGCAGCAGCAGCACCACCCAGTGACAAAGTCGTCGTAGTGGTCGTCGTCGCAGGACTGGCATTGGCGTCGTCATTGTCGCTGTCTGCCGCGGTCATCACC